GTCCCTGGTCTGCTGGAGACGGTCTCCAGCAGACCAGGGGCACCGGGAGCAGCTTTTCTCGCCCCGGAGTTCGAGGTGGCTGACTGCTGCCTGTGAGCTCCGGGGCAAGAAAGCCCCGTTCGTAAGTGTGGATCCGACATAAGTCGGATCCGCGTAAGTCAGGGACTGCCTGTATCATAGAATCATAGGACTGGAAGGGACCTTGAGAGGTCATCTAGTCCAGTCCCCTGCAACAATGACAGGAGGACTAAGTATAATCTAGACCAGTGGTGGGCAAACTGCAGCACACAGGCCGTAGGCAGCCCCTCAGGGTAATCTCATTGTGGGACGTGAGACATTTTGTTGACCTTGACCGTCCAGAGATCCCACTCTCCCCTCAGCTCTCAGTGGGCTCTCTCTCCCTGGCCCATGGGAGCTGTGGGAAGCGGCATCTGCAGGCAAAGAGGCAGCACAAACATGTTGGCTGCTGCTTCCCACAGCTCCCATTGGCTGGGACTAAGGATGTTAAGTATTGGGTAATATACTAATCAAATAGTGGATGCATTTTTGGAAGTCCCCAGCTGATCCCAGGCTCCTCCCGGCGCTGCTGCTTTGAAATGCTGCAAGGAGCCTGATGCTGGGCTCCCCGTGGCATTTCAAAGCGGCAGCACCGCATGGAGTACCCAGCTGATCCCAGGCTCCGCACAGCGCTTCCGCTTTGAAAAGCTGTGTGAGCCTGGGATCAGCTGGGGACTCCCCACCTGACCCTGGGCTCCGTGCAGTGCATTTCAAAGCGGCAGCACTGCTTGGAGCCCGGGATCAGCTGTCCGCAGCTGATCCCAGGTTCCAAGTGGCATTTCAAAGCGGCAGCTCCGCACAGAGCTTGGGGTCAGCTGGGGAGTCCCCAGCTGATCCCAGGCTCCGCACAGCGCTGCCGCTTTGAAATGCCACGAGGAGCCTGACGCCGGGCTCCCTGCAGCATTCAAAGTGGCAGCACTGCACGGAACAGCTGATTCCGGGCTGCGTGCCGCACTGCCGCTTTGAAGTACCCCCATCTTCTCCCCTTCTTTTGCTGCCTCTATCAGATAAAAGCAGCAAGGGGAAGGAAGTGACTAGTCGACTATCCTGCAACTAGATAACTGTAGCCACTAGGAACTGGGGAGAGGGGAGGTGCCTGAAGATGGTCAATATCAGCAAAATGTCTCATGGCCTGCAATCAGATTACACTGATGGGCTGCATGTAACCCGCAGGCTGCCTACCACAGACCTAGACTATCCCTGCAAAGCGTTTACGTAACTTGCTGTTAAAAATCTCCAATAATGGAGATTCCACAACCTCCCTAAGCAATGTATTACACCCTGCTAGGAAGTTTTTCCTAATGTCCAACCTAAACCTCCCTTGCTGCAGTTTAAACCCATTGCTTCTTGTTCTATCCTCAGAGGCTAGGAAGAACAATTTTTCTCCCTCCTCATGACCCCCTTTTAGGTACCTGAAAACCGCTATCATGTCCCTTCTCAATCTTCTCTTTTCCAAACTAAACAAGCCCAATTCTTTCAGTCTTCCTTCACAGGTCACGTTCTCTAGACCTTTAATCATTCTTGTTGCTCTTCTCTGGACCTTCTCCATTTTCTCCACATCTTTCTTGAAATGTGGTGCCCAGAACTGGACACAATGCTCCAACTGAGGCCTAATCAGCGCAGAGTAGAGCGGAAGAATGACTTCTCGTGTCTTGCTCACGACACTCCTGCTAATGTATCCTAGAATCATGTTGGCTTTTTTTGCAACAGCATCACACTGTTGACTCATATTTAACTTATGGTCCATTATAACCTCTAGATCCTTTTCTGCAGTACTCCTTCCTAGACAGTCTCTTCCCATTCCGTATGTGGAACACTTTGCATTTGTCTTTATTAAACTTCATCTTGTTTACCTCAGACCATTTCTGCAATTTGTCCAGATCATTTTGAATTATGACCCTGTCCTCCAAAGCAGTTACAACCCCTCCCAGCTTGGTATCATCTGCAAACTCAATAAGCATACTCTCTATGCCGATATCTAAATCTTTGATGAACAGAACTGGTCCCAAAAGAGACACCTGCGGAACCCCATTTGTTATATATACCTTTCCTGCAGGATTGGGAACCGTTAATAACTACTCTCTGAGAATGGTTATCCAGACAGTTATGCACCCACTTTATAGTAGCCCCAACTAAGTTGTATTTGCCTAGTTTATTGATAAGAAGATCATGTGATACCGTATCAAATGCCTTACTAAAGTCTAGGCATACCATGTCTACCGCCTCTCCCCTATCCACAAGACTTGTTATCCTATCAAAGAAAGCTATCAGATTGGTTTGACATGATTTGGTCTTTACAATTCCATGCTGGCTGGTCCCTATCACTTTATCTTCCAAGTATTTGCAGATGATTTCCTTAATTACTTGCCCCATTATCTTTCCTGGCACAGAAGTTAAATTGATTGGTCTGTAGTTTCCTGGGCTGTTTTTATTTCTCTTTTTATAGATGGGCACTATATTTACCCTTTTCAAATCTTCTGGAATCTCTCCTGTCTTCCATGATTTTCCAAAGATGATAGCTAAAAGCTCAGATACCTCCTCTATCAGCTCCTTGAGTATTATAGGATGCATTTCATCAGGCCCTGGTGACTTGCAGACATCTAACTTTTCTAAGTGATTTTTAACTTGTTCTTTTTTTATTTTATCTTCTAAACCTACCCCCTTCCCACTAGCATTCACTATGTTAGGCGTTCCTTCAGACTTCTTGGTGAAGACCAAAACAAAGAAGTCATTAAACATCTCTGCCATTTCCAAATTTCCTGTTACTGTTTCTTCCTCCTCACTGAGCAATGGGCCTACCTTGTCCTTGGTCTGCCTCTTGCTTCTAATATATTTATAGAATGTCTTCTTGTTTCCCTTTACACCTGTAGCTAGTCTGAGCTCGTTTTGTGCCTTTGCCTTTCTAATCTTGCCCCTGCATTCCTGTATTGTTTGCCTATTCCTTTGTAATTTGTCCTAGTTTCCATTTTTTATGAGACTCCTTGGCTACGTCTAGACTGGCCCCTTCTTCGGAAGAGGCATGCTAATTTCTAACTTTGGAATAGGGAAATCCGCGGGGGATTTAAATATCCCCCGCGGGATTTAAATAAACATTGCCTACTTTCAAGTAGGAATAAGAGATCCTCCGGAAAAGGGCTTTATTCCAGAGGATCGCGCCAGTCTGGACGCTCTTTTCCGGCTTTTTCCCAAGCCGGAAAAAAAGCGGTGGCCATGTTTATTTAAATCCCGCGGGGGATATTTAAATCCCCCGCGGATTTCCCTATTCCAAAGTTAGAAATTAGCATGGCTATTTCGAAGAAGGGGCCAGTCTAGACGTAGCCCTTTTTTATTTTTAGATCATTCAAAATCTCCTGGTTAAGCCAAGCTGTCTTTTGTCATATTTTCTATCTTTCCTACACAGAGGAATAGCTTGTTTTTGGACCCTGAATAATGTCCCTTTGCAAAACTGCTGACTCTCTTCAGTTGTTTTTCCACTCGGTCTTACCTCCCATGGGACCTTACCTACCAGCTTTCTGAGTTTACCAAAATCTGCCTTCCTGAAATCCATTGTCTCTAATTTGCTGTTCTCCCTTCTACCACACCTTAGAATCATGAACTCTATGATTTCATGATCACTTTCACCCAGGCTGCCTTCCACTTTCAAATTCTTAACCAGTTCCTCCCTATTTGTTAAAATCAAATCTAGAACAGCTTCCCCCCTAACTAAGTGGGAAAGTAACACAGCGGGGCATAGACTAGTTCTTGGTCTGCACTGAAGACAACTTTTTATTTCAGAAGGTTGAAAATAAACAACTCCTCCTCCCTTTTTTCCCCATCTGTCCTTCCTGAGTAAGGTGTACCTTTCTATACCAATATTCTAATCACGTGTATTAGCCCACCAAGTCTCTGTGATGCCAACATGTCATAGTTGTATTTATTTATTAGCACTTCCAGTTCTTCCTGCTTATTACCCATACTTCTTGCATTTGTATATAAGCATCTAAGCTACTGATTTGATCTTGCTTCCCAGTTCAGCCTTATTCCTCCATTCTCTCTGCTACTATAGCCCACACTCCCTCCCATTTCTGACCCATCTCCAAAGTCCCCATGTTCTTCACTTACCCGTGGGCTTTGGTCACCTGTCCCGTCAAACCTAGTTTAAGAGAGAGGTGCCTCCTTCTGCTGTCGGCTTAGTTCCGGTTAAGCTACTGATTTGATCTTGCTTCCCAGTTCAGCCTTATTCCTCCATTCTCTCTGCTACTATAGCCCACACTCCCTCCCATTTCTGACCCATCTCCAAAGTCCCCATGTTCTTCACTTACCCGTGGGCTTTGGTCACCTGTCCCGTCAAACCTAGTTTAAGAGAGAGGTGCCTCCTTCTGCTGTCGGCTTAGTTCCGGTGCGGCCCGCTGCTGAAGCCAACTGCTATACAGGAGTTCAGGGGGCCAGCACTGCCACGAAACAGCCAGCTTCAGCTCCAGCAGTTGCCGTGGCCTGGCAGCCCGTGGTTTGCAGCCCAACACCAGTCCGCAGTCCGGCAGATGGGAACTGCTGCAGTAGGGGACGGAGTAGCAAACTGCGCTGGGAGTGCAAATCCCAGAACTGTAGCCCGGTTTATACCGGCACTTTACAGAGCTATAACTTGCTATGCTTGGGTGTGATTTTTCACACCCTGCACCAGAAAGTTGCAGTCGAGTAATGGGCCAGGTCAGATTTAGCCTGATATGTGGCATCCAGAACTGGACACAATAATCCAGTTGACGCCTAATCAGGGCAGAGTGGAGCGGAAGAATCACTTCTCCTATCTTGCTTACAACACTCTTGTCAACACTCCCACTTTCTTTGCACCAGGATCATGCTGTTGACTCACGTCTTACTTGTGACCCCCTATGACCCTGGGCCTGGTTTCGCAGTGCTTGTGCCTGAGAGGTGGGGAGTGGGGTGAGGGTGTAGGGTGTGTGTGAGGGGGATGTAGGGAGGGATGTGTGAGGGGGTGTAGGAGTGGGCTGGGATCTGTGTGAGGTGTGCAAGTGTGGGGGATGTGAAAAGGTTGTAGGGGTGGGATGTGTGTGGGGGTGTAGGGGTGGTGTGTGGGGAGGGGGTAGGTATGGGGTGGGATGGGATCTGTCTGTGGGGTGTGAGGGTGCAGTGTGGGGGGGG